TAGTGATAATGCGACTGGCTTGATATTTTTTGATTTCTTTGTTGTGAAGCGTTATATTTGTTTACTCGACATTGTTGTGTTCCACAACAATGCCGAGTAAACAAATATCTGTTGACATTGTTGATGACGTCATTTTTTGACGACAAATTGGTTGACGACGACGAAATCAGAAATTTTTATAGTATAAGATAACGTGTTTCTTTCAAAACAGATTTTCATAATTCTATTTTTGACGTAAATACTTCTATACGGAAGGTCCATTCGGCAAACACGTGAAAGGAAAACGTGCAAGATCCATATCAACAATGTGTTAATATGGATCGACAACAATGGCCAGCTTGCGTGCATTGTTATGTTACCTAGAAACATCATCTGTTTACTCGGCATTGTTGTTAATATTGTTGTATATTGTATAGACGTACTTACGTCAGATTCTCAGGAACCGTGGTTCCACTGTCAATTTTTAAGCCAAGTTAAGAAATTTCTTCTTATACACAAGTTTTTCATGAAATTTTTAGTAACTTTTTTCAAATCATGCTTGAAAACAAAATTATTTATCTGAACTTTCAATATATTTATTGTTAAGGGTAGGTCATTAAAGAAGTTATTTGACAAAGCATCTGATGTTCCAAGAAACAGTTGAGTAGGTATCTCCAATAGAAGTTGTTTTCTAATTTCCTTTACCTGGTCCAAAAAAGAATGTATCTTTTAGATCTGGTTACGATGGTGGGCTGATCCAGATGGATCATACAGTACAAATGATCCATAGTGCTTAGTTGTAATTCATAAATATGACACCTGGTGACAATTTGAAGAAAGGCTCTTTCTTTATATTGTGAAATGTGAAAGTTGGTTTACATGTGTTGTGTTATATTATAAACAAGTTAAGAAAGTATGCATAATATAACGAGTCTGGCCCCTTTTGCTCTAGTATTGCCTCTAGATGGCTTTACATGCATTTCCTATCAAAAGTAGGTTAACTTCCATGATTTATTACTGAGTTTTACGTTTAAGATTTAACTTCAAGTGTTTGAAACATGTTTTGCTCTCATAACAATGAGTCATGACTGAGATGTAAAGAGTTCATTGTGACTCTTATTTTAACCAAAACTGAATTCTGTCAACAAACTTCAGTAAAAATTCCTCAATATCAAATTTAACTAAAATCAGTTCAGTGGTTCTCCAATTACATGCAGACAAATGGAGAGACAGACATGGAAAAGCTAATAGGCATATTTTTGCAACATTTCGTTGTGAGTATGCCAAATGTCACCTGCAACACTGGTGTTACGGGGAAATATGTCCTTTATCACAAAAATAGTCTCGAAACCCACTTTAAAATCCTACTCTGGAACCATGTCAGCCAATTTTCTGGTTATGATTTGAACTCTCGACCTCTTAAGTATGAAAGAGTAGTAGTTGAGCTGTTGATTCATAGTTATCGGACTTTTAATAAATGTCAGTTTGTCCTTGAACAACAACATGGAAGGACTGCTAGACAGCTTTAATTTTTTTTTGTTATGTTATAGTAATTGGGATGAAGGTCATTTGTAAAGATAAATTAAAACTTGCAGAATCATATGTACATAAAATTGGCATCTCGTAAAGCCCATGTCCTAGGAATGTGGGAGTGATCATCTCCTCGAGCAAAGAGAATGAGACGGGCAATGCATTAGCATGCACGGCAGAGATGAGAAATACATACAGAAATTTAGTCTGTAAAGCTAAAGGCAAATCTATACATGAATGGTAGGATATTATAAAGAAAACTATCACGGAAGGAATTAGTGTAAATGACATTCTAACATCCACGCTCTTCAAATTATATTCGTATTGAAACAACCAATGTGGATGTAGTTCTGGAGGTTATTTATTTTAGAAAAATATAAAATTAATCAATAAATAATTGAGACTCCACAGAGAACATCATTATCATTATACATGAAAAATTACACCCTCGCAATGTTGTAACCACAATATTTCACATAACGGGGAAATGAATTATGAGTCATGGAAAAATCACTCAGGGCGTTAACATCGTCCTACAAATCCTTCTTTGGAATATTTAACCAAATCACATGTTTCTATTTCCTGCTTCAAACATATGTTCAAAATTTTATGGGTTGGCAATTTCTCTGACGTGCGTAATGTATATAGTCTAAAGGGATTTCTGTATTTAGGTACAAATTAAGTCGCCCACAGAAACCTTTTCACCAAGCACATTCACAGTATAAAAAGTAATTTGAATTCTGGTCTGTAGCTCACGTCGTCTGTCCTGCTTTACAAACTAACACAAACTGATGTTGACTTTTCTTTACCCTTTGTAAGAATTTAAAGTACAAATGAATCAGACTATGTTGCAGGAATATCTACAAGTTAGCAAGTTTTCTTCGTAGTGTCTAAGTCGAGTAATCTCCAATTTAAAATTCTCTATTTTGCTAGAGGCCTCTTTCAGGGCAGCAACTTTCGCTGCTAGTTCCTGCTCCTTTACAAGTAATTGTAATAAAATAAAGGGAACAAACATGATAGCAGATTAGCTGATGACTGACAATAATACCTGGAAAAGAAAATCACGTGTAGAATACGGAGTGTTCCTATCGAAGAGGAAAATTAAGTCGACAAAGGCAACGGCGGCGAAATCAAGTCTGCAACAGAAGAAGGTCGCTATCGTAGATGCATTCGATGATGATGTCATCGAAACAGTCATTCATCATTTTCACGTGTCACCTCGCGGCCAAGTGCTGAAAATGCTCTACAGCGTTCTCAGGGGTGACGGCACGCATTTCGTCAGGCGATAAATACAACCACGGCCGTAGGTTTAATTGGCTGCAACGAGAAAACTTTGCCAGACGGAATATTTGTGCTAGATTTCTTTCGCACTTTTGTTTTGCCACATTGAGCAGTAAAAACAATGCAATTAATTAACACGCGTTAGTTGTAATGTAACGTAAGGTAAGGTAATGTAAAGTAAGGTAATGTAAGTTAATGTAATGTAAAGTAATGTAATGTAAGGTAATGTAATGTAATGAAATGTAATGTAACGTAAGGTAAGTTAATGTAAAGTAAGTTAATGTAATGTAAAGTAATGTAATGTAAGGTAATGTAATGTAATGAAATGTAATGTAACGTAAGGTAAGGTAATGTAAAGTAAGGTAATGTAAGTTAATGTAATGTAAAGTAATGTAATGTAAGGTAATGTAATGTAATGAAATGTAATGTAACGTAAGGTAAGTTAATGTAAAGTAAGTTAATGTAATGTAAAGTAATGTAATGTAAGGTAATGTAATGTAATGAAATGTAATGTAACGTAAGGTAAGTTAATGTAAAGTAAGTTAATGTAATGTAAAGTAATGTAATGTAAGGTAATGTAATGTAATGAAATGTAATGTAACGTAAGGTAAGTTAATGTAAAGTAAGTTAATGTAATGTAAAGTAATGTAATGTAAGGTAATGTAATGTAATGAAATGTAATGTAACGTAAGGTAAGGTAATGTAAAGTAAGGTAATGCAAGGTAATGTAATGTAAGTTAATGTAAGGTAACTATGTAGGTAACCATTGTTGTTTGTTTGTTGATAAACAGATGACGTTTCCAAGGTAACATAACAATGAAGTTACACTTTTCGTTACATTTTTGCCGAATGACACTGACCCTAAAATATAGACGTATTTACGTCAAAAAGTTGCTTGAAAGATGTGACGTAATCAACAACGAACGAAAAGTCAAACATGGCCGGGAGAAGAATCATTCATTACTTTTAGTTTAATGCACTCTCCATTTTAAACGGCGTCCAGATGCGTGCATGAAGTCAGCCACGACCCTTGTAATGAAAAGGCTCAACTCCGCTCTGTTCTTGTGCACACAGGAAATTCTGCAAGCCTTTGCTTTCGTCTGTTCACTCAGCTTCCTCCAGGGCGCCTAAGCCATCGCTGTGCACATCGCAACGTCGAAGGCGGATCTGGTTCTAACCAAGTGCTCAGTTAAATGAAACAAGCCCAACTTATGCAATGTCTTCGGTAAAAAAAACAAAACATAAACTGGACTCTGAATGTACAGATTTCATTATAAATGGACAGAGAATATTTGCTAGCACATGTAGTCTGCATGCGACAGAGACTCTCGAATTGCGAAACATACAAATCAAAGTTCCTTTCAAGAATTAACGACGTGGACTTGGGTTTTTTTCGGATTTCTGGAATGTTCTGCCAGCACTCGCTTGTTAAGCAGTGAAAATGCATTGGAGCGAGAAATGACTATTGTACACCCCTGAAACAGAAAGGAACTGAGACCTAGCGTTTTTCAGGAAGTCTAACTAAAAACCATCTGTTCACATCGCTTACAAAAGCCATGTAGTTGATTTGTTTGGACACAGATTCAATGCTTAAAAAGACACTACATCACAATACAAATGAAAGCCATACAATTGCATCTTCGCATTAACACGATTTCCAGCTCAAGTTATGACTCAGACAGGAAATCTCTGGTCCAGATTCCAAGACATCGTTCGAAGGAAACATTAATCATCTTCATTCCCGCGTTTTGAAGTGGGTACTGACACACAGGCGGCAATGCTTCTGGACGTGGCCGATTTAAACCTGTCGCCTACTCCTAGCTGATGGGTTTCATAGTGGGTCTGCCTCGCAGTTCGTAGCCCGCCTTGAAAAGGTCAACGAAGGGACGATTTAAGTCAAAGCCTTTCAATTTCAACGAACGAGATAATGCTCTCTTATTACACGATGTTAAGTAGCTGATTCAGTTGGTACAGGATCGTTATCCCCCTACGACAATACATACCTTGGTGAGAAAACTGATTATTGGAAGAGTAAACAGCGAGACATGACGTCAGAGCATTGTTGTACTACGTTGACTGTTTGTCTCATTGTCGACCGTCTCTTAGTGACTTCCTGTTGACGTCTTGTGTGGCGAGAAACGTGAACAAGCGCTTAATCGTAGACCGTGAATATTTTACTCAGATAAAATAGTTTAACCACCAGGAATAATTTGGTTATAAAGTCTTCGTCGGGATGAACAAGTTTATTCGCCGTATCAAGTCAAAACTTCGTGGCAACGAAAGGCCGGATAAAGTTGGAGCCCACATTCAAGAAGAACTGAAACCCTCTGGACTGCACATCACGGACTTGCCGCCAGAGGCGCTGGCTCGCATTTTCGAAAACTGCTCTTACGATTTCTTGGCTAGACGAGTGAGGCTCGTGTGCAGACGATTCTGCGAAGTCGCCACTTTACTTCTCAATCGGGGGTTCTTGACCTTGGGGCCCAAGATAGATCGAGCTATGGTGGATGCCGTGTCTCGTTTTGAAGAAGGTCGAACACAGGGAGAACTTCTGGTAACGACTCGTCCTTTCAGTTCAGCAATGGTGGATGACTTGCCCCGTATAGGACAAGGTCGTCCAACTGAACAACAACTGCTAATGGATCAACATTGCAACGCGCTGTTGCTTATGAAGCGTCGGGTAAGAGAGCGGGGAAGAACCGAATCTTTGTAACAACTCGCAGGAATGAGACGCGCGCTGTGTCACGAACAAACCCTTAATAGTGTTGACGGGGGTTTAACATTTCTGCTTCAAAAACAAACGCGTAACTCCTGTTCTTTGACGCGGACTGAAAACTTCTGTAGGCCGAGGACTGCTCGTCACATTAGCAACTCGAAGCTAAGAGTGCACGTGGTTTACGACAGCAATCGAAGCGACGTCGTGCGTTTAATCGACCAGAGTAAATTGTCAGCGACCTAGAAACTGGTCGACAATCAGGTTACAGTTCTATTGCTGTTACTACATGCGCGTCTTTACGGAACAGTCAAAAAACAATATTCATGTTTGAGAATTGGGTGTTGAGGAGGATATTTGGGCCTGGGAGAGAAGACGATAGGGTCTGGAGAAAACTACGTAAGGACAAGGTTAAAAATGTGTGTAATATGCCCGGAATATTGTCAGGGTGATGAAGTCGAGAAGAATGAGATGGGTGGGGCACGTAGCGCGCATGGATGGGACAAGAGGTGTGCACCGGGTATTGGTTGGGAAACCTGAGGGCGAAGAGACCTCTGGCGAGACCTAGACGTAGATGGGAGGATAATGTCAGGGGGGATCTATGGGAGATAGGAGTTGAAGGAGACTGGATTTTGTTGGCCCAGAACAGGGACCGGTGGAGGGCTTTGGTTAATTCGGTGATGAACCTTCGAGTTCCGTTAGGCATCTAGTTAGTTAGTTAGCTAGTAAGGAACAGCTAAAGCAAATCACTGATGAAACGGAAGTGATATTTCTCATATTCATCCTCCGAGTTTCCAGATCATCTGCCTAAAAGTGCAACCCAGTTCTAACTAAACAGATGGCTTAAGTAACCCGAAGGTTCGTTACCGAATTAACCAAAGCCCTCCTCCGGTTTCGGTTCTCCTTTCTTTTTCTTGTAAATGAGAGTCGGCTACAAATAGCATAAACAGCAAAACCATCCAAAATAACATCGACTGTTCATTCGGCAATGATTTAAACGACGACATACCAACTGCAGTGTTTGTAAACAGCTACTCATAACTTGAATAGAGGAATCAGAATTTCACACGTGTTAAAATAGTTAAGTTGACAGCCGATGAGGTTACCTGCCCGTCTGATAGTTGCCCCTTTGTTTTGCAGTACCGCGTGTTGAGAGCCGTCACCTGGAGACACATTTACAGCCCTCACTCCGGCTCTGGACATCCGGCGTGCTTCTACGCCGGCAGTGTGCTAGACAAGTTCCTCAGGTTCCTGCGATTGGCCCGCCATTCGCCAACCCTCTTGGGGTTCTTCATGCTTAATCCAACTAAGGGAAACGAAGTCATCAAAATGTTTGTTCTGTGCTCGAAATTCATGTACCACTTCTACCAAAGAACTTATAATTTTAGACGCAATTATTCCATCTCTGGGGCAAATCTTATTTACCTTTGCTATCTCTTGACACGGCATCCTTACAGGATGACCCCACATGAAGAGGCGGTGACAGTCAATGGAATGGAATGCCACATCGGGGCTCATTATGGGTAAGGAATTGCACATTAACTTTTGGCCCCGCGATAGGGAAATCCTTTTATCAATAAATATCACGTCACCTCGCCATCTTCAGTTTCTACTGTGAATTAACAGCACTCTGGGTCACCAGACACGCATGGGGATGGGGGGGCGGGGGACGAACTTGGCGCAGGATCGTGGCCGGTTTCGGACTTTTGTGTCTTCGGCGTTGGACTTGCGGGTTCTCCTACCAGGGAGTTGGGTTAGTTTGTCGGTCTCCAGAGAGCGCAGTGGTGGTGTGTTCTTCTGACAGCGCTCGCAAAATAGGTCCAACGCACTAAGGCTGTGCGATTGTATTCGTACGCTTTCAGTTTGGAATGATTTTGTGAAAAACTTTATGGAAGGCCTCGTTTAAGCATCAGGTCCAATGGCGAAGTCAGAATATTGAAGTTACTCAGAGTCGCTTGTAAAATGCTCGGCTACAAAACTGGAGCCCCTAAACAGATCTGAAGTATAATTATGATATTTTTGGGTGCTTGATATCGTCTTTTGTGTTCAAGGCGGAATGAAAGCATAAACACGAAGTCTTAAATATTTTACAGTATAAATGCGTCTTTCTCGCCGTGCTATAAATTATTGTTCAACTTGAAACTGATGCCGTCAGTCACAG